GGCGGGCCTAGGCAGTCGAACTTGAAGGGAAACCCAAGCGACCGAACATCAAGCGTTAGTATGAGTAACCGAAATATTTATTGTTTCAGTGAGATCAGAGGGTCAGAAATAGGAGCCGAATGCCAGGTGGTTTTGCAGCCGTTGTAACTGCTTTTTTGATTTCGAAGGCCATGACGCAGGGAACTTCCAACAGTTAAGTACACGATCAAAGTAACAGAACATGCAAAGGTTAAGAGCGCTTCCGAGGGGGCGCCTATTTAAAGTCATTCCAATAACAACCACAAATCATCTTCAACTCATCAAAATTTCACAAGAAATTCATTGGGATCATCATTTTATTTTATTGTATATTTTTATTTACTCATTTTTATCATTAGTGCGGGTACTTAAAAACTCATCATCTCAAGTCCAAAATATCAAATTCGATATTAATCCAATTTTACTTTTTTTATTTGTTGAGAATCGTACCCACAAATTTAATATAAAATATTTTAAAAAATACTTTAAAAGTATATACAAATAAAAATAATTAAAAAATTATTAACATATTTTATATATAAACTTTTATCTTTATAACTAATACAATAAATATATAAATATCATTAAACATTATTCACATATTTAAGAAAAATTAAAGTAATAGTATTTAAAATAATAAAAAGAATAATTTAGACTAAATACTTAGGGCGTGTTTCTTTAAGGGAGTTTGGAGAAAGTTGGGTTTGAGTTTGGTTTTTATTTGAATTTTGAGATAGTTTGAATTTTGTTGTTTCTTTTGTGTTTGGGTTTGGTTGGGGTTTGGGGAGTTTTGATATGTATTAATTTGATGGATAATGAATAAAATAATATAAATGTGTATTAAATTTAATTTATAAAATTTATATTGTATAATTTGATTATGAATGTATATTATACCCAACATATATATATTTAAAATTTTATTTATTTATATTATAGAAAATTTTATTTTCTATAAAATGACATATATATTGTATATATTTTTTGCATTTAATTATAATAAATATTAAATAAAATTTTAAATTTGAAAAAAAAAAGGAAAAAAAATAAACAGGTTTGGCACCCATTTTACTGTGTGCACAGCAAGTGCACATAGGCATGTCAAATGGGGCGGGTTAGCCCCGGACCCGCTCTTAATGGGGTGGGGTTCGGGTCTAAATAATATGTTTCGGGGCGGATTGTGAATTTAAAATTTTAAACCCAGCCGGGTTCGAGGCGGGTTGCGGGTTTTACTAAAAATCCGCCCCAACCCAGATCCGAACTCGGATTTTTTAAAAAATTATTATAATTAATATATATGTACATTTATATAATAAAAATATATTATTTATTTACTTAAATAATTTTAAATATAAAATTCAATTAGTCGCCTGCTCCAAATAACTTTTTAAAATTATTATACCTAATATATGCATATTTATATAATAAAAATATATTATCTATTTATTTATCTTATTTTTATAGATCAATATTTGATTGTTTTTACGCAAATCGAAATTGTCCACCAATTCACAAACAAAGGTGTGCTATCCTTAACATAATTCAAAACATGTAGAACAACGGAATTCAACAAATAAATTATGATATTCAAAACATAGTTCAAAAACAGGTACTGCAATGTAGAATTGTTGTAATTATGACAACTTCTATAGAAAATTTTGGACACAAGATGCTTCATATTTTTGTCTCTATAGAAAGGACTGTAATGAGCCACTCCATGCTCACGAACTGCTGCCCTTGAACTATAGCTTCCCCAGGTTGTGATCTAGTTAATGGTCGTCTTGTGAACATTGGTTGTTTATAATGTTTCGGGACCCTATCCATACGTGGTGGTGGTGGTGGTTCTAGTGCTGAGACAGTTGGGAGGATGCGGGTTGCTCCCGTGTTATGTAATTGCTCCCACATATATGGTCCCTACACAATCATTAGATAATTAATAGTGTTAGTATGTAAACAATTCATTAATAAATGTATATACTTGTTGGCTTTGAGTCTTGTTGCAGTTTACAAGGTTTTTTTTTTCCTTTCGTGGCCTGCCTCGACGTTTTGGTTGGATCGTAATAATGGATTCTTGTGTGGGAATTACCCCAAGTTGAGTAACTAGAACAGTGGTACTTGATCTGGTGGCTTTCCTTGCTGGAGCTCCTTGAATTCGCGTCTACGAATAATGTAATATAGATTCAACTTACTTCGTAAGAGAAATGACATATATTATGTATTGTGTTAGGTTGTACTTACAGACATCCGTCGTGGCCTATGCTATAGATATTGTCGTGGTGTCTTCCCTAACCACATATATGTACAAAGAAGAGTCAATGCATGATTGTATATCACAAATATAATACAACAACTACACACTTCTATAGTTCATACCATTGGTGATGATTCCTCAAGCCGACAGTTTTCAAGTGACTGTGGACACTTTCTAACATTTTGTCCAGAGTTTGCACATCCCCTGAAATGAACAGTCGTTTGATTTTTCTTTAACATTAAAGTTTCAACCTTCTTTCTTGTTTTTTTCATAGGTTCATCCCGTTCTCTTCGCCTCGATGAGGTAGGTCTCCCAATCGATCTCATTTCCATTGGAGGTTTAGGTGGATTAAACCCTGTTACCTCCCAAAACATGCCACTGGTGATTTTTCTTTAACATTAAAGTTCTAGCCTTCTTTCTTGTTTTTCTCATAGGTTCATCCCGTTCTCTTTGCCTCGATGAGGTAGGTCTCCCAATCGATCTCATTCTATTGGGGGTTTAGGTAGATCAAACTCTGTTACCTCCTAAAACATGCCACTGGTGATAACCATTATAGCAAGAGCATATACCTTAATGTATGTCTCCGCAAAGTATTACTTATCAACATAGTTTTGAATCTCTTCTCGTTTGTTAGAGATGGTGGAGATGACATGTTTGTAAGGAATTCCAATTACTTGCCACTGTTGCATGTGCAAGTTCTTTCCCGAAGATTAATAGCATGTTGGCTCCCATCGAAGCAAGAAATCTCATAATGCGTATTATAAGACTTGATAGGAATGCAGTCAGATACCCTCCGAGCATTTCTCTCCAGCAACTTCAATGCATTTGGACAGAACCACAAATTTGTATCAAATTGACAGAATCAAGGGATGGAGGACCAAAATAGAACAATAAAGTATTGCAAATATAGGGCCAAGGTTCGAATCGAAACATTTGGAGTTTTCCGACAACGGTACTCCACAAGAAGAATATTATATGAAATTAAAGTGAAAAATGATGTGCCCCAAAGTCGATTCTTTTTTCCTTGATCTTGCCTTTGCCCTTATCCTCAGCGTTGCTCATATCATCAACAACATAAAAAAGCACAAGATCATAGTTACGTTTGTTCCTCCGAAAACAAAAGCCTCAAATTCAGACCTTTTTGGAAGATTGACGAGAGAGACAAACTCCCCGGTTGAATGCGATCAATTTTTTATAAACTTCCTCCACTTGAATGCGATAAATTTTTTTAAGTTCACCGTCAGTGAGTTAGAGCTTTTGTGATGGGTTAAATTGCAATTTCACACGGGGATCAAATCGCAATTTAATTTATATATATTAATATTTTAATTTAATCACCCAATAAAACAATGCCGCGTGAATTTCGTGTACGAGAGCGCGTGGTTCAACTGTCACATGACAATGATGCGTGGCGGGAGGATATAAATGGGTAGTGCGGGATTTATTTTGTCAGGGCGATAGATTGAGGACAAAAGTGATAATGGAGTTTATGTGCGTGATATTTATTGCAATTTACTCCCTCTTCTTGAATTGTCCACAAATTTAGAAAGATTATAATTAATAAATAATAATAAATTATAATAATAATTTTTTTTATTGTATAATACAAATAATTATAAATTAAAATTAAAATTAAAAAAAATAATTAATTAATTACAAACATATTCAATTCAAAAATATTCTTTTTACTATTTTTATATTTCTCATTTCAAAGTATTATTTCTCATTTTATAAAAAGTAATTATACAATAATATTAAAGTACATTTAACTTTAACTTAAATTACAAACATACTATTACACATACAATTACTTTATATATAAAGACAAATAACAAAAATGTCAAATTTTTACGCACTTTCATCGATTAATGAAATACTATCATTCTTTAATCTGCTACAAAACTCCAAACGATCCTCTAATTTGGGACGGAGGAAGTTTAAATTTTAAAATGCATTAATGTATATTATTATTTTTTAAAAAAAAAAAATAAAACAAATTATGAATGGATTGAAAATACAAACAAATGTGAGACTAATAAGTATAAATAGTAATGGCAATGAGTCGGGTATGAATCAGATTCAGTCGGACCTGAGTTCTGACCCAAATACTTTAAAAATTGCAGGTTGCCCCTTGTACTTAAAAAAAATATTGTATGAAACTCTACGGTCATGAAACTCCCTTTTTCAGTAATAAGAAGATGATTTCCTATCTATGCATAATGAAGATGTTTCATGCAATATTTTTTAAATATAAAAAGACGTCATGCAATTTTTTAAAGTAAATAGAGAATTTACGATGAGTTTCGAAACTATAGGGGTTTTATGCACATTTTTTAAAGTATAAATAACGCCATGAAATTTTTAAAATAAAAGGAACTTACGCCGAGTTCCGAAACCTTGACAATTTTCCCTAAATATAATCTATATTGTTAGAAGTATTTTATGGAGTATATAAATGATATACTCCCTCAATTCCTTAACAATCTATCTATTTTTTTATTTTGGTCCATCCTATTACAAAAGTATCAATTTCTTTTTGCAGTAATTACTGTATCCCAAATATTAGAAATATCTTTTTATATTACAGGTGACCGAGGGAGTATTAATGAAGTTCCGGTAAGGTTTGGATCCGCGTAGGTTCATTGACCCGAAATCGACCCGGACCAGACAAAAACACACCATACTTACCTATATTCGACCCGATATCCAAGAGCCAATCCCACGTCCCCCCCGTAGCGATTCGGGTATATCCGGACCCCTTTCGATCCCATGTAAATTATTTGACCTGTTTGGCCAAAACCTACGACGTTCTGTTTTTTTCTCGGAGCGGAGCAGCGAGTAGCGAGTGACTCTTGTCGGTCGGCCGGCCGAAGCTATGGTAAATCTGGTGTTTATGTTTGTTTATTTTTTGCTGGTCTGTTGATTTCAAGTTTGGGAAAATCTAGTTATGGATATCGTTCGATTTGTTTTGTGTTTTATTTTGTATGTTTCAGTCTGGCAGAAAAGAAACAGTTTTAGATTTGTCTAAGTTCGTCGACAAAGGTGTTCAAGTCAAGCTTACTGGTGGAAGGCAAGGTCAGCCAGCGTTTTCTAATATTTGGTTTATTTTCGCTATTTTTTGTTTTTCCGATTTCCAATTTATTGTTGTAATTTGAAGTTCCGCCAGGAGAGTTTTTGATACTTTGTTGAAAGGTTTCTCCGTTGGGCGATTTCGTCTTTACCTTGCCCCTTAGAACATTCTCTCCCTGAATGCGTAATGTGTAAATGGAAAGAGTGTTATTGATGAAAAAGTTGAACATCCGTCGATATAAAGTATTTGGGAATATTAAAGGTATCTAATTATTCCTGTTGTTAGACGAGTTAGATATTCCAATTTCCAATCGTGTTGAACTTCTCCAGTTCGATGTGATGTTCAAAACATACACTTTTGGTAAGTTATTGTAGCACCTATATATGTGTGTTTGATTTTACATTTTTACCACACCACTTATGCATATAGTAAGAATGGAAAATCTGAGTTCAAACTAGGAGAATGGGTACTTATTTACCATACATTAATTCAAACTCAACTATATACATAGGATATACTCGAATTTAATTATATGCACACAACTGGAAACCATCTTTCCGGATGTTTGTGTGTATATTAGCATATCAATTTTCCTGCTTGATGCTTATGATATTATCGAAGACATGCTATGATTTGTAGGATATATTTTCAATTATATGCATACAAATGGAAACCAGTTTTCCGAATGTTCGTGTGTATATTAGCATCATATCAGTTCGCCTTCTTGTTGCTTATGATATTGTCAAAGACATGCTATAATTTGTAGGATATACTCGAATTATAAATATCCATACAACTGGAAACCATTTTCCCGAATGTTCGTATGTATATTAGCATCATATCAGTTTGCCTTCTTGTTGCTCTTATGATATTATCGAAGACATGCTATGATTTGTAGGATATGCACAAATTTAATTATACGCACACGAACGGAAACCATTTTTCTGAATATTTGGTGTGTATATTAGCATATCAGTTTGCCTGCTTGTTGCATATGATAATATCGACGACATGCTATGATTTGTAATGTTAAAGTTAGTGCACTTCCAGATTGATTTATCTTCTTGATAAGTGTAAATGAAGTCACTGCTATGATGTTTACTTGATTTTTCTCTCAAATCTGGCTTTTTGTTCCCCACTTTATTCTATATTTTGATCTTATTTAGTTATTTTCATTTCTTTAACCTTTAAATTCCTAGTAGTATTTTGAAGATATTGCATGATCATTTGCGGTTTGGGGGAAAAAATAAACTTAACAACTGCCTGATGTTAAATTTTTCTTTGGATGTCTGATCTCTGATCTTCTACTCATTCTGGATGATATTTGAGCCATCAATATCTATGCCTTCACCAAACTGTATATGGAAGGCTCGGCTGCTAGCTAGTAGCTATATGGTCCATTCCATGTCTCTATTGTATTTTGGTTACAATCTTGCAGTTCTGTATATATTTCCCTTTGAATTCAACTTTTTGAATTTTGATTCTCTATTTTCTGAGCTATACAATGCAGCGCGAGATTCTGGATATGCATGACTAATTACTAAACCACTTTAGATAAATAAAATAATGATGCACTCTTATTTCCCTCATGACAATGGTTATTATGATAATCATATCAATGCGATATGGAAGAGCAGCTTATTAGAGCTAATTATCAATTATTGATTATCTGGCATCATAAAGATCAATGTGTCTGCGGCAGTGAGCATCCTTTATATTTATATGCCATATCAAAATACTGCACTGATATTCTGATTCTATAATCTGGTATAATAATTAAGGATTGTTTCTATTGTCCACTTTTTACTGAGCATAACTTTTCAAACTTAATTATTTTTCCTAACATGCCTTTAACCTTTTTACCTGAAGCTGTGTTAGCGTTTTTGTGTGAATACGATGACGTGCATCTGATTCCCTTCCATTCCAAGTTTCTGAAGGATATATATATATAATAAATTGAATCTTCAGTGATTGGGATTTGATTGTTAAAGTTGTGATTGTAATTCGCTTTTCTGGACATTCTTGTGTGTTGATCATTTATCTGCTGCTGCACAGGACATTATTCTCGTTATCTTTTGTTTAGTGCTTATGGCTAAAGTGCATGAATCGTTGCGTGAAATTCCTTTATTATGTTCCATGGTCCTTTAATATCTGTGTATTTATGTCAGTCACTGGAACACTGAAAGGGTATGATCAATTGCTGAATCTTGTTTTGGATGAAGCCGTAGAATTTCTTAGAGGTAAGCATACCATTGTCTCGGCTTCCTCATCACATTCTATATGTTACAAATTTATTTCATCTCCTGATGTAAATTAAGGACAAAGGCGATTATGCTGCATCTGTTGTTTTACATTACAATTCACATAAATTTTGCAGATCCAGAGGACCCACTGAAGACTACCGATCAAACCCGCCGCCTTGGGTTAATTGTATGTCTTAGTATGATAACCTTGTACATATTTCTTTGCATTATGTCTCCAAATTGTTTTGTAATTACGATCGAATCAATGGTATTGCCAAAGGTTTACATGTGATTTCATTCAGGTCTGCCGAGGAACTGCTGTGATGCTGGTGTCTCCAACTGATGGTACAGATGAAATTGCCAATCCATTTTTGCCTGATGGATCATAGACAGGATAGGATAGGATTGGATTGGATTGGATACCTTGTGCATCATCATCATCCTCATCACTCCTGGTTCTTAGGTACAGCTAAATCTGCTGAATCTTTTTCTTTTACTTTTCTCATATGTGGGTTATGTTATGACAGTTGAGTTGCCTTAAAACTAGGGGTGGAAATAGGCCAGGCGGCCTGTCAGGTGCCTATGACCTGGCCTATATCAAGCCTGGCCTGGCCTGTTCTATTTATTAGAAAGGCCAGGTTCCGATTTTTGTTAAAGCCTGTTTATATATACAGAATAGGCTTAGGCTTATGAAAAAGCCTATTTACTAAACAGGCCGGCCTGTTTAATAATAATATTATTATTATATAAAATTATTTTTTATTATTATAAAATAAGAATAGTTTTATATATAATAATGATATATAAAAAAAAAATTTAATTATAAATTTATTAAAAAAAAAACAAAAATAAAAATAATTTTTATCCCAATAAAAAATTTCAAATATGAACAACTACTGCACACATGTTCCTTTTTTTGTTTCTTTTATCATAATTCAAATATTATCCCGCTGTAAACTGAACAACAACTGTCCATATTCCTTTTCCACCGCTGTGGGTGACGTGAACTTGAAAAACTATGTTATTAATTTCTAAATATTTTTGTCGAATTTTTTAATATTGCTTCTGAGTTAGCGTTGCTTATTTCTTTGTTAGAACAATCAGCTTAATGACAATAGATTGATGTAAACTGTTTTTTTTTTTAATGTCATTATGCAGTAATTTCTATCGGCTTTTGTCTGGAGTTTGCAAGACTTATTCCCAATAATTATATATATATTTGAATGAATTGTAATATACGTTTTTTTGCAAATTATTAGTATAATATATTGTATTTTTATATGGCAATAAAAATGATTATTTTTGTCATTAAAAAACAGAATTTTTTATTTTTTTATATATAATATAAATAATTGTATCTGTTTTATTTTTTATTTATAGTACGAAATTTACAAAAAAAAATAAATAATAATAATAATAATAAATTATTATGTAGCCTTTTAAACAGGCTCGTAGGCCAGGCCAGGCTTTTAAAAAGGCCAGGCTCAGGCTTTAAAAATATTTTTTTTCAGGCTGGTAGGCCAGGCTCAGGCCATATCTTTTTAAGACAGGCCAAGCCTATTTAACCAAAGTCTGGCCTGGCCTGGCCTATTTCCACCCCTACTTAAAACTCTCCATCAACATTTACCACCTCTGATACAGATGCATTATAGAGCGAATTTGATTGATTGCCAAAGTGATTTAGTTTTATAATTAGTTGGGGTGTCGATTCGTGTTTTTGGGTCGTGTTCGTGTCGGGTTGAGCCACGAGGATAACAAAAAAACTGTCAACCTGAACCCGATTCTTACCTGAAACCCTAGATCCGAACACGACACGAATTCTTTCAGGTCGTATTCAGGTTGACCTGAATTAGTTTCAGGTTACCCGAAACCCGAACAAACCCGATACGAAACAGACCCGAAAATTTAAAAAAAAAAATTAAATTGACCTAAAAAATATCATTTTTATTTTAATTTTTATATTATTTTATATATAAAATAATATAAATATTATAAATTAAAATAATAATAATAAAAATTTTAGGTCAACCCGAAACACGATTCGAACACGACACGAATTTTTTTTGTTTCAGGTTCTGGTCATCCTGATTTTTTTCAAACCCGAAATATCCAAATCCGAACCTGAAAAATTTTAGGTCGAACGGGTTCGATTTTTCGGGTCGGGTTTACTTTGGACACCCCTAATAATTAGGGACTGAGTTCAGAATTAGTATTACAATTTAGTTCCATTTTTCTTTTTCTTTTTACTTTTTTTGTTGATCCTCTTTCTTTATTGGGTAAACTATATAACACTTATTTGTATTTTAGTAAAAATGCACAAAATACTTTATATTTTATTTATTGCGTGAAATCTCTTACTTTAATATAAAGTTTGCACGAAACACCCAAGACTTAAATTACGCAAATTTTATATAAATAAGAAACTTAAAATATCTTAAATGATTTTTTATTTTAATAAAATTAATAAATAAACAATTGATTAATCATTTATTTTTAAAGTTTTTGTAAAAATTAGATAATAATTTGTATCCAATTATAAAATATAGGATTTTACATTTTTTTTTTTTTTTTTTGTTTTTGTTTTCTTACAAAACTTGACGTTTAGACCCAAATATTAATTTTGGATAAGGAGATGATGTATTATATAATTTATCCTTTTTTATTTACCAATCCAATCTTGTTCTCATTAGCTGGTCTACCGCAATATAGAATTCCTTGTTATGAACTCTTTGGAACGTGTTTCATTACCTTGTATTGGTGTTAGTGTTACTATGCACTCCCTTCGTCCCAAACATTTTGCACTATTATTTTTTTTATTTGTTCCAAATTTACCACAATATTTTTAAATTTTAGAAATAATTAATAATATTTATATATATATATTAATATACATTTTACTTTATTCTATTACATCACTTAAATAAAAAAATAAATAATTATATAATTATATGTTGCACAGTGTTTAGGACTGAGGGAGGGAGTACTTTGCACGGTTATTATGCTTTTTATGTTTAATGCCTTGTTGGTTTTGTGAATTATATTTTGGGATTTGAATAATTTAGTATATAAATTGAAATAATTTAATGTGATATCAATACATGTTCGTGTGATATTTAAATATAAAATTATATTTTACTATATAAAAAGTAAAAGATAAATATTTACTTTAAGGTTCTTTAGAGGAAAAAAATAAACTAATAAATAGTATAATTTCCGTTGAAAATTAAAAAAAAAAAAAAAAAAAAAGTCCAAACTTGCTTAAATATGTAATTTATTAATAATAAGTTATGATATTATTTTATTATTTTTTAATTGTTGATTTTTAAAATATGAATTAATATATATAATTTAAAAAATTTACAATATGTATATAAATATTTGAAGATATACCATATGAATATTAGATAATAAAGGTTTATATAATAAAGATAAATAATTAAAATATAGTATTTATCTATTATAAGTAGTAACGTAAATTAGTTTTATAAAAAATATTGAGTTTTAATTGTAGATAAAAGTATTTGTTTATTTGTAATATATAAAAATAAAAAAGTTTTGAGTAACCTCTATGTATAAAAAGTTAAAAATATAATTAAATTAATTTATATTTGTTAATTATATTTTAAAATAAATAAATTTAATAAAAATAAAACCATCATTGGTGGAACGGACTAAAAAGAAAATCGAATCTTAAGGGAGAATATCTATTTTTTATTTTTTTATATTATACTAAAAATCAATTTTACATTCAAAACATCACATCAACACCTATTTATATCACATCATACAACTATTCAAATTCAAAAATTTTACTATTCAAATCTCAATTCAAAATCCAAATCCCCGAACAAACACAACTACTGTGTATTAAAGATTTTAAGATGTACTAGTATTTGAAATCATTTAATAGTAGTTCAGATGTAATAAAATTTAGTCTTATATATTAGTAATACAAACATGGATAATAACTCACTATTTATAACTATAAATAAAATATAATGAGCTTGAATAACTAAATCAAAATAATTACAATAATTTTCATCGTTTATTTATTGATTAAATTATAGTAATTTTTTTCATTAATTTATTTATTGATTTTATGACTTTCTCATAAACTTTATTAATGTCACACTATAATTTTCATCGTTACCACAAACACTTCCACTCCTTTGGGTCAAACTCATCCCAAATTCTAAAGGTGGCAAAAATTGATCTGACACGATAACTCGACACGATCCAACACGAAATAATTCAGTTTGAGTAAAAAATTTTAACCCGATTATGTATACGGGTTGACACGAACCCGACACGATAATAAACAGGTCGAGTTAGGGTTGAGGCTCTCAACTCGAACCCGACACGACAACCCAATTATAATATATTAATATTGATTAATATATTTATTATATATATATATATATAAAATAATCATAATTTAATAATTTTTTCATAAATTAATTTAAACTAAGTTCAATTTTAAATAAATTTAACATAATTTAAGCTCAAACCAATAAAAACTAACATAACACGCGACAAGAAAACAAAAAATTATTTAATTTGAATCAAGAAATTAGACTTAATTATATATACGGGTCAACACGAGTCAACCCGAACCTGACACGATAATAAACGGGTTAATACGAACCCGACACGATAATAAACAGGTCGGGTTAGAGTTGAGTAATTTAATTCGTTTAAAGTATTCAATCCGACACAAATCCAAACCATTGTCGGCACTACCAAATCTAATGTATTAACCTCTCAAATCCATTATGTCTTTTAAGCCCAAATACTTTAAGCCTATAACCCACTTTACTTTTGGACATATTCTTTCAACTAAATTAATACAAATCAAATAAATATTTTAATTTAAAATTTTATTATTTAAAACTCAACCCAAAACTCAATTCGATCTAGCAAACACTTCTATCTCCAAATAAATTACAATTAACCAAATTAATTTGATGCCTCTAACATTATCAATATAAACATATTATTTTCATTTTCCGAGATGTATGCTTTATTATAATTATTACTCATAACAATATATTATAGTCAACATTTATTATCAAATTAAATAATTATTTTAGTAAAGTATATATATATAAAAAAATATTCCAATCTATGAAAATTAAGATATAAAATAAGCAAGTTACCATATATTTATAAAAACATACAACATATGCATGATAATACAACGTTAATACAATATATATGACATATTGCGACAAGATTTGATAATACAATATACAATATAATATTTTATTAATTTCAATAATGATAAATTTATATATAAAATACAATACAATACATCTAACTGCATGACATATTTCTATATAGCACAATACTATATTCGTTATATGTCTTGTAGTTCAAATTAGCAATATTGATTTGACCTAATCAACATCGTAATCATCACTTAAATAAAAATACATAATGTGGTGTATAATATATAAAAAATATATATATATATATATAAAATACTCTCTCTATTTCAAATACGGTGCAATATTTGTTTTCCGTATGAGAATTTAAGTTGGTAGTATTAAATAGGATAACGTAGAATAACCATATGATGAGAGAGAAATATGTATGTTTATTTTAGTGGTGTGATGGAATAAAACGTGAAGTAGAAATTAAATATATTTAATTATTTTCTATTTTAGAAATGTTGCAGAAAAAAAAAATATTGTAGGGTGTTTGAGACTAATGGAGTAAAACTTAATAAAACACACGCGCACAAAACTATATATATATATATAACAAAATATTTTATATAATATTTTGGCAAAATTGCTTATAACTCCTTTGTGGTTTCGAAACTCAACTTAAATTCTCCCTCTACTTTAAAAATTGCATGACGTCCCTTTATACTTTAAAAAATGTTGCATGAAACCACTTTGTGGTTTTGAAACTCAGCATAAATCCCCATTTTACTTTAAAAAATTACATGACGCTCACTTATACTTTAAAAAATATTGCATAAAACCCCATTTTCCATGCAAAACATATAGATAGGAAATTATCTTCTTATCACACAAGGAAAGTTTCATGGTGGTGGGGTTTCATGCAACGTTTTTTAAAGTATAAGGGATACCATACAATTTTTAAAGTACAGGAATATTTTACACTGAATTTTGAAATCACGGGAGAGTTACAAGCAATTTTACCTAATATTTTAACAATTATTCGTACATTACAACAAAAAATATAAAATTATAAATACCGAGCAGACACACTCGCTATTCTTTGAGGGCTTGGATTTGAATTTAATTGAAATTTGAAAAATAATAAAAAAATTTATACCGCATAACAAAAACACCCGAAACTAAATACTAAATAAATACACTCATTATTTCCTAATATTAAATGAATTATCTCACTTAAAATTTTAAATTCAAAATCGTCCATACATGCAAAATTCATATGTAAGGTAAATCAATCTACCATATCAAAGACACGTTGATTGATTATACAATTATTAATATAACAATTAATTATATGTATCCATTTAAATTTATATTTAGGTGATATAATCATAGAACAATACTGTTTAGAAAATTTTAAATTTGTTTTAAATTACGTACTACTATATTAAAGGATAAATTCAACTTATTACTAAATTAGAGCCGACTCTTAGGAGGAGCAACCTGAGCAATTGCTCAGGGCCTCTATTCTAAGAGGGGCTTATATTT